CGCGTCGCGCAATTCGACGTTGGCGCGATCGCACTGCTGCTGTGCCTCCTCGAGCCTCTCGCGGGTCAGCCTCGTGGCCCTCGCCCGGCTCTCCTCGTCCGCCCGCCTCCTGAGGTCGTCGTCCTGCATCCTGGGCGGGCCCAAACCTCCAGCGCCTCGAGATACTCAAGGCGGAAGCTTTCTCAGCTTTTGGCCTCTCGGGGGCCCTCGCCGGCCCACGTCGTCAAAAAAGGGCTCCGGTCAATGAAGAGCAGGCCAGCGAGGAGGAGGCCCGGACCTCCGGGGGCCCTGCATCGAGAAACTCAGGGCATCGGCCTCGAGGGGCCACGAGAGGGAGGGGGACTGGTTCGGGGGGGGGGGCATCGGGCTGGAATCGGCGATACATGGCCGATGGATCGGCAACTGGCCGCCGGCAGCGGATCCGCACGGTTCGGGGCGGGGTGGGCTATCGCGCCCCTGCTTGGCGATCAGAGGGCGATTCGGGCTTTCCCAATAAAAACGGCGTCGCACACGCACCTCAAACGGTGCGACAAAAAAATGCGAATGTCCGCCTCAGAGAGGTGGGGCGCGAACTCTTTCGCAGAAGTGCGGCGGGGACAGCGACGGCAAAGCAGGGCGGAAATCGGCATCAAGGCAGGGTGAGGTCCTTTCCACCCTACGCCGACCAGCCATACCTGGGGGAGCTGTGGTCCTTACCCCCCTGGGGGGACCCATCGCATCGACGATCTCTCGAGAGGGGTGTCGAAATCGATGGGTCCCCCAGGGGGGTAAGGACCACAGCTCCCCCAGTTGTGGCTGGCCTGCCTACATGCGAAATCACTCAAAAAAGCACCGCGGGTCCGGATTCCTTCTTGGGAGACCCGGGCAACAACCACGGCGGACCATGCTTGGCCACCTTCGGCCTCGCGGGGGGGGCCCTCCTCGGGCTCCTGGCCGCCAACAGAAAGGCTCGGGATGGACAAAAAAAGGCCTCGGGGAGCGGGCCGATATCAAGCGGACCAGACTCAAGGGGCCCTGGGACACACAAATAAATACACACAAATAAAAGGATTCCCCATCTTTTCCCATATGTTTGGGATTCTTGTCTTCCCCCACACTTCCCATATTTTTCCGCATTTTCCTGGGGATCGACGATTACTTGTGTCTGCGTGTTTTTTCCCTCCTGACAGACGGAGAGCTGGAGCTCCCAAGGCTCGGCGGCGTGCCCAGGGGGGACATTGAGAGGGGGGGCGGGCCTTCTCGGTGGGCGGCGGGGCTTCTCAGAAGCCCTTTTGCGCCTTCCGAGAAGTCTTCTGCGCGGCGCCCGGCGCGCTCCGGACGGCGCCGCAACTCAGCAGACAGATGCGGACAGATGCTCCTCCTCCTCCCCCTCCTCCTCCTCCTCCTCCTCCTCCTCCTCCTCCTCCTCCTCCTCCTCCTCCTCCTCCTCTCCTCCTCCCCCCCCATCCGAAGGAAACGTCAGCGCCGAACGCCACGGGGACGCAGCCCACGCGAAAGGCGGCGGCGGCGGCGGCGGCCGTAAAGACCAGGAGCGTGCAAACGAGAAGCTCTTCCCGCACCAGCGCGGGAAACAACTGCCCACAGCCGCCCTGTGTCTCCAGAGTCGACCGGAAAGTGTAAACATGGGCGAATACCGACAGCGAAAGCCAACGGCACAGGAAAACCTGAACCCGACATCCCACAGTGGGCGCCAAGACGACGCGCGTCGAATAGCCGAGGCGCACTAGGACGAACGTCGGCCTGCGAGGGGCCACCGTTCGAACGAGCGGGGCGCAGACGATGCCAATCCTACCTTCCACCTCGACGCCGACGACAACCTTGCGGGTCGCTGCGCGAGCGCGCATGCCCAGATGCTGTATCAGCCCCGTTCCAAGATAGCCGTGATCGCACTTGGCGAACATAGCCCCGTCCCGACCCGACGGGTTAGGTTGTCTGAGCCTCGTGAAACCGACCCCTATCCGCACTCGTGGCCTGGGCCCCATTGGCTGGTTTGCCCCCCTAGATGTGGATTCGAGCTGCTCCCCTCGGGTTTCGAGGGGCATGTACCCAAACCGGGTGGTGAGATGGTCGGGCTCGGGACGGGGATCGGGATGGGGATCGGTTGGACGATGCTTATTGTCGGGACGTGCGGCTGAGCCTTCCCAGGGCAGCGCGGAAGCCCGCACGATTGTCGATGCCCAGCATGCCGACGGGAAGGGCACCGTTAGACGATGCTGATTGTCGGGACGTGCGGCTGAGCCTTTCCAGGGCAGAGCGAAAGCCCGCGCGGTCGTCGATGCCCAACATTTGAGTAGGGGATCGACTGCAGAATTGATCTGCCCCATAATCAATTTTTTCTTGTCAAATCCACGGGCAGTTCGTAGAACTCTCGCATATCTAAGAGTGGTTGACGTACTTTTGTGGAAGCGTCGACGCGAATATCAAGTTTGGGGTAAATCAATTATGTAGTCGATCCCCCACTCAAGTCTTGGCTGTTCCCATCGTACTTAGGGGCCACATCACAGAAACAGTGCCGAGCACCCAGAGAAGTGCCGACGCAGCGTCGAGAGAGTCTCGCCCCCCAGGGCCCGACGTGTGAGAACCGCCCAGCTTCGGATTACTTTCTTGGCGCAGGAACTTCTTCTTGCTGATCAAGGCTAGGAGCACGTTGGAACATCTAGAGGCCTCCTAGATGGGGTCGGAGTAGATTGACTACCTACCAGACCACCCCAACCCAACCCGAAGACCCGAATTTCGGGTTGGGGGGGTAAGGGTTCCACATGTGATTTTTCGATGTTTCCCGACCCCCCCCCACTGGAAATCGATGGTAAATTTGAGCCTTCGGGTTGGGTTGGGGTGGTTTGGTGGGTGGTGATAGATGGGGTCGGAGGATCCCGCCGCATTGCCGATACATCGGCGATGCATCGGCCATGCACTGGCGACGTCGGCGATGCATCGGCGACGTCGGCGCGGAGAACATTGGGCCCCACATCGAGACGCATCGCTGATGCATCGCCGATGCATCGGCGATGCGGCGCGATTCTCCGACCCCATCTACTCCGACCCCATCTATAGGGAGCCCACAAAGGACGTACGCGCCCAGCTATGTACATGAACACGGCCTCTTGACCCGCGAGACCTGCCGCGCGATGCGAACCTTCGCGCAATGCGAACTCTCGAAACCAGCGTGGATTCATGTACATGTACGTCTTTCTTTCGCTCCTGAATCTACAGCCCTCGTCAAAATTAACCCCAAAATGGCGGGCACGCCCCTTCGATGTCGGCGCGCCCCTTCAATGTCGATACGACGCCCCTTCAATGTCGGGGCCAGGGCAGATGTGGTGTGACCGGGAGCGACTCGAAAATTCAAGATGACCGACATTGGAGGGGCGGCGCATACAAGTACATCGCACTCATCGGCACTCGGTCCGATATCTCCCACAATCAGTTCAGCTACGTGAGGCATTTTTGAGGTTATTTTTGACGAGGGTTGTAGGAGGCCTAGAACATCGGAGCCCCCAGTCGAAACGACCCGACGCCCGGGCGCCGCAGGGCCGCGGAGAGAGCGCCGCGGCCGCGGCCTCTCCGCGGGGGGCGAAGGAGCCCCCGCGGGCTGCACGGCGCGCCCCCCGAGGGGCGACGGCGGCGCCCGCCATCGCGAGCGCCACCGGGCGCGGGAACACTTTTCTGCTTTTTTGTTCGCGAGCGCACCCAGACATCGGGCGTCTCGAAAAAATCGGGACGGAGGTTTTTCATAGTTCTTGGCCTCTCGGGGCCCTCGCCGGGCCTCGGGACCGTCAAGAAACGACTCGGGACGAAAAACCGGTCCCGGGGAAGAAGTGGTCGGGAGGTCGGGGGCCCGTGTCTCGAAGAAATCGAGACGTCGGATGTCTGGGCAAGCAGAAGGGCCGCGCGCCGTCCAAAGCTGCAGCCAACAAGCAGGAGCCCAGAGTTGCACCGGGCGCGGGGACGCGCGCTGCATCGTAAAACCGGGCTGGCCCCGCAGCTCCGCGCAGCCCGTGCGACCGCGCGCGCCCCGCGCCCTGGCTCCTGATCCGCCGTACTTTGGATGATTTTCCGACCTAAAATTGTGTCGGAAATCGACGCCAAAGGAGCCTCAAGGGGGGAAATCGACGCTCAAAGGGGCCTTAAAAGTAGGGCGGAAATTTCCGCCCTACTTTCGAAATCGCCCAAAGTAGGGCGGATCAGGAGTCAGGGCGGGCCCCCGTGCGGCCACCCCCGCCGACGGGGGAGCGCCTGGCCTCTGCGCGCCGCGAGAGGCCTCGCGGGCCCCACCGTCGAAGAGGTCGGGAGGCGGGCGAGCGGCCGGCAGATTCCGCCCTGACTCCTGATCCGCCCTACTTTGGGCGATTTCGAAAGTAGGGCGGAAATTTCCGCCCTACTTTTAAGGCCCCTTTGAGCGTCGATTTCCGCCCTTGAGGCTCCTTTGGCGTCGATTTCCGACACAATTTTAGGTCGGAAAATCATCCAAAGTACGGCGGATCAGGAGCCAGGGCGTGGCTGCTTTATAGGACGGGCTTCCCGGAGTTTGGGGTCCCGAGGCGGTGCGGTGACAGACCGCGCGGTGACCGCGAAGCCCCCCAAGACCAAACCGCACGGTGCGTCACCGCACGGTCTTGGGACCCTGGAGGCCCCTGTCGCCCGAGACACCCTCGGAGAGGGACTCGAGTCCCAAAGCCGTGCGGTGGCCCCGAATCCCCACCGACTCACCGCACGGTGTGGTCACCACACCGTTTGGGGGCCCCCGACGGAGGGAAGAGAAGACACACACTCCCGGAAGTGAAGACTCGGCGCGCTGGATCGTCAGCGGGCTGCCTCCCGGCACGAAGAAACGATTTCCTGGAGCCCCGTTTTGGCAGCCGCGGGTTCGCCGGCCTCCCCCTGGCTTCTGAGAGGAAATGGGGGGTGGGATCAGTCGGGGAGCAATCACGCTGGGCGCGAGACCCCCTGACCCCAAACATCCGATGTCTCGATTTTTTCGAGACACGGACCCCCGACCTCCCAACCACTTCCCCGGGACCGGTTTTTCGTCCCGAGTCGTTTCTTGACGGTCCCGGGGCCCGGGCAAGGGCCCCGAGAGGCCAAGAACTATGAAAAACCTCCGTCTCGATTTTTTCGAGACGCCCGATG